GTGACTTGTTGCATTTATTAATTGGCAAATTCCGCATAAACACCTATTTACCCTCCATCTAAGTGTTAGTTAGGTCGAACTCTGTTATTTCATACCTAATCACATTCATTTGTAATACATTAATAGAATTGTATTCACTCACAGAATTACACAGCAACACAACCTATAATTTAAAATGTTGAGTGAAAACTTCAATTTAGAATCACCAATGATATAATCATGGTCAAGTACAATGTAGAACCAAGAAGATTTTGAGTTCACATAGTTCATGGTAAAGTACAACTAATTTTCTACAACCTTTGGAGAATATATGCTATATAAACTAGAAATAATTGCAGTAGTGGTACTAAACATTTCATTTAGTAGCAGAGTTTGCCAACCTTTCATTTGTGCCACCTACAGTACCAAATCTTTCAAAATGTTCACAATTGAAGTCTAAATGGATGATTTATGCTAAATTGACCATTGATTGACCAAATAATTGACTCCGACAATAATGTTATTGATTTTAAAAGGTTAAAACGATAATTTTATATTTTTAATAATAAAATAACCAAAATCAAATAATTAAAATTAAAAGCCCATCCCACCTTTTTCTTGTCCACCCATCCCCACCACAATTTTGTAATATGGGAAATCAACCTCTTTGAATCCTCGAATCCATGGCATCAGAAACATATCACTGATGCAAGAAATCCTCAATAAACCTCTTCGAATCCTCAAATTCATAGCATCGAAACCTGCATATGCACTCTCATTAGCTCCCCATAGTCATCTGTACTCTACACTCTCACTCAGATGTCATCCCCAATGCCTTCTTCGTCTTCAATGCCGCTGTCGAAGTCAATGACTTCTGAATGATGGCGACAAATTATTCGAATTATTACCATTGATGATCGAGGAATTACCATCATTGCTAGTAATACGGTTATTATTGTTCTTATTGTTAGAAGTGTAGCTGAGGGGTTTGGAAGAAGATGAGCGAATAGGGGTGGGATGGATAAGAAGACGGTGAAGAAAGTTCTAAACCTAGATTTGCAGATTTGGGATGATGATGGGGATAGGACGGGATGGGGTGGGGTGGGTGGAGGAGAAGAAGAAGAAGGTGAAATGAGTTTTTAATTTTAATTATTTGATTGTTAAAAATGTAAAATTACCATTTTAACCTTTTAAAATCAGTCAACATTATTGCCAAACTCAATTATTAGGTCAACTAGCGGTTAAATGAATAGAAACCATCCATTTGAACTACACTTGCGGGCATTTTGAGAGGTTTGATACCGTGGGTGACATAAATGTAAGATTTGGACAAAGTCTACTGCTAAATGAAAGGTTTGGTGCCGCTGCTACAATTATTCCTATAAACTGAGACCATAAAACTATCTCAATTTTAAACTATCGTAAATAATACATAGAGTAAGGACTGAAAAACGTTGAGACAAAGATAATGAAGTAAGGGTTTGAGAAAGTTCCGTTTCATTTGCACTTTGTTGTTGTGTTGACGAGGACGTGAGTGGACAAAATCCAAGCCAAGCCACTTCCATGGCCTACATACATATATTTCTCTGGTAGTCAAGGCTCATTCTTGAGGTTTCTTAGGTGTCTAGCTCATCAAGTTGATGAGTCATCTCTTTGACTTTGTGTCTTAGCCTAGACATCCTCGTATATGCCAATCACAATGATTTTTTCCCATGTGCCCAATTCTGATTTCTTGAATTTTGTATATATTGATTTGAAAAGGATATTGAATGATCAGCTTAATCCTAGGATCATTTAGAAAAAATATCCAGTTACAAACATTGTTTGGGTCTATATTTGGTATATAGTATTTTTTACAAGATTTACCATATCACAAACTATTACTTAAATTACAAATGTCACATAGTAAATCTTGAAATTTTATTTTATAATGATGTAGATACAAAAATTTTCCTTATATTTTTTTGAGGCACTTTTACTTAGTATTTGTTGGACTTTGGCCCCATGTCACCTAGCATGAGGCAGATAAACCAAACACTAGCCAGATAACACTACTTGTCAAGAAATATCGATTGGCGATTTACTTATGATAACATGAATTAAATTGATGTGATGTGAGCGAATATCCCAAAAAAAGACCAATATCAGTATCTTCTCAACTTGTTTGATAATCAACATTTACAACACGACACAATAAAACAATAATTTCTTTTTCTTTTGTAATCATTTCAACGTTTTTTGGTACATCCATAACAAATTAACTTTTGTTAACTGAAATCCCACAAAAGATCAGAAGATATTCCTCGAAAATTGTAAAAATTCTTCGTCGAAGCTTCAAAATGCTCATATTAATTTATTGATTGATGTAAAATCAAAATCACAACCACGAGTTATTCATTTTCATTCTCCACTATGAGATTCAGAAAAAGAAAAATTAATAGTCTTTCAGAGTATGCATCATTTAAACTATGCTAAAATCATCCGTTCATATGTTTATAGTTCAACTGCTGGCCAGTCATGCAGGGACGTAAATGCAGTTTTCCAGAGCGAAAGGCACAAAACACCTTATATAAATGAAACCATTTTGGAAAGCAGTTTTGAGTTATTTGATTGAAAGCTTGACAGCACGAATTGTCAAGGGAAACTCCAAGCACTGCTTTAAAAATATCTACTTCGCAACCTTCAATATTTTAGAGCTGACAAGCACGGCAGAAACCGTTCCACCATCGGCATTGCTTCTGATCCTGCCCCAACAGCAGACAATGGCGGTTGTGGCGAAACGGCGAAATTCAAGAATTTCGGGTTTGCAGCCCTAACTGCTGTCATGTCCATGCATACAAGAATAATTAACAATGACAAAGCTCCCTTAGCAGATGCTGATTTAGATGCCATAAGATTTATGTAATTCAGCTTCTTAGAATATATATTTGAGATTTTCTGGTTTTCAGAAGGAAGATTGTAAAATGGATTTGTGGGGTGATGCTTCTAATTAAGCATGGGCTATTTATATTTGAGATTATATTCACCAAACATATTAGTTTTTAATTCAAGTGCGTTTCTTTCTACTTAATTTGCTACAAGTTTCTTTGCTTATTCATTAGTTGTTCTTCATTTTTATTTCAGAATATTAAACTATCGTTTCAAAATATTTTAATGCCATTGTCACTCTGAGTTATATTTGAGTCATATTAATTCTCCTACAAAACGGATACCATTTTTTTAAATTAATGAGTTAGTTGCTGCAATTTAGTTAATTCAAAACAAATAGTGCTATAAGAGTCATATTGATTCTCCTAAATAAAATATGAGGAAATTACACCCTGGCCTGTATTTAAGTTTTCATTTTCATTAATACATAATGACTTTTATAAGTTCAGAAATCAGGTTTTTTAAGTAA